TCAAAAGAAGCAAGGCACAAGAGGGTCTCTGTATGGTTTTATTAAATCATGTTGTATAAAACTGGTCTATAGTGATAGAAATAAGATCAGTGTTGGGAGAGATTAACTCCAGGGTGGGGTGAAGGAACTTTTGGGGGTAACAAACCTGTTTTATGTGCTGTCTGGGAGGGTTCTACATGTATGTACATTTGTCACAACTTAAGAAAGTATACATTTAAGTTGCCATTTATTGTATATAAATTACTCCTCACAAAGATTGATTTAAAATTTTGGTTGGAAGGAAATCAAATCAGTATAGCAGTCACAGTAAATGTGAAAAATTATATTGTGCCAGTAAAACTGTTGGACTAGGTTGAGAAACAAAACCTAACCATGTCCTGTTTGAAGAAAGAAACTTTTGAAAATTTGATAAGGAAATATGAAAAATGAAGAGTTGGATAAAGATCTATGGCCCAAGAAAACAACAAAATCAGTAATTATAATAATAGACAAGGTGAAACATGAACATCAAACTATATAAATGGTTATTATGATGAAAGGACAGTTTATGAAGATCTAATAGTTAAAAGCTTATATGGCTAAATAAATACATAAAGCAAAAATAACATGGCAAATGTGTCATCGTATGGGATTTCAATACACCTTTCTCAGAAATAGATCTAGTAGGTAACAGGTGAGAATATAAAGGAGTTGACTAGTGCATTCAATAAACTGAATTACACATCAGTAGTAGTTTACATTCCTACAATAGATTATCTTTTTTTTTTCCCCCAATGTCCAAGGAACTTTGGGCAAAGTTTATCGATGTCCAATACACTTGACCACAAAGAAAATCTAAACAGGTGAGAAAAGTTGAGGTTTTTTTGTGGTTTTTATTTTTTATAGGCCACATTGCTTGGTAATAATACTAATAATTAGAAAGAAATAATTATAAGGTGATTCCTTTGAAACCCGCCTCCTATGGAGGGTTCCCGTTTTCCCTGTATTTGTTTCTAGTGCAGAATCACCCTCAGTGTATTCTTGAACTGGAAACTTGGTAGAAGCGAGGAGTTATTAATTCTCAGTATTTCTGGTTTCGTATTGTTGAAGAGTCTTTCTGTTTCAGTCAGATGCGTTTGTGTGACTGCTGGTGAAGTAAGCACAGGCAATACCGTTGTCTGTACCTGGATCATCAGTGATAATATAACGCTTGACCTGAAAATGTCCTTGATACTCCTGGCCTTCCCCTTTCAATAAACACTTACTGGCCATTCACTAGAACACAGAAAATTTCAAGTTAACAATTTAAAAGAAACAAGAATACCTAATACGGGGGAGGGGGGACATGGAGAATAGCATGCTCTCATGTACTGCTGGTGCAAATGTGAATCGTTACAGCCGTTCTGGAAATAATTCGGCAGCTTGGTTAACAATTAAAATTCATTTTCCTTTGGCCCAGTAATCCTCCTAAGATTCTATTCTTAGAAATTAAAGCACAAGTAGGGCCATATGTATAGGGATATTTATTGCAGCCATGTGCATAATGCCAGCTGCCTGAAAACAGAATGAGTGTTAGTAGGAGAAAGGCAGAAAACAATGCTACCTCAATAGGTTAGGAGATTATGCTTCATGGAAAAAGTGAATTAGACTAATACCTGTTTAGTTGAAGAGAGTCTCAAAAAGTTCTTTTGTATGAGAAAGGAAGAGGCAGAAAAGTTTGTATTAATAATTTGTGTAGCCAAAAATTAATTGAAGAGAACTGTGCATATGTCACGGGCTCATGAGTATGAAGAAAAATAGTTAAGAATGCTTACTAGGTGGTTAAATGTTTATCTTAGTGTGGGGTGGGTGGGAGTACTTGGGGAGAGAAGTTACAAAAGGATAATTGTCCTTTAGTTGACAAAAGGCTATCTGGTGATCATAACTATTCATTATTTGTAAAATTCTATAAATGCTAGATTTAAAGATACTAAGTGAATATTTAAAATTAAAACGACCTATATCTTTTCTAAAAGTGACGCTGATTTGCAAAGACCTGAGTATGTCTATGTATATGAAATCGATAGAAACTCTTAGGAGCAAAATAAGCATTATAGAAAGCCGGAAAACTTTCTGAGCTAGAAGGGCCTAAAGTGTGTCCACACACACATGTACACAATGAACCAGTAACCAGTGGGAAATTTATTAGCCCATAAACCTGGAGTGGCCTTTGTGGTTGGTTGGTTGGTACTGCTCTTCATGGACCTTTGCATTCCTTTGATTTGTCATTCTTGATGTTGGCTTTGTGTTAAACCTTGTAGCGTGATGGCTGCATTGCTGAGATGGAGTTTGGGGCACAAGTTGGTTATAACATCTGTGAGAGAAAGGGGCAGGAAGCAGAATTGGGCAAATGAAGAAGTTGAGCTTTAGTGCAGGCCTGACAAAGGGGAGTTTAGAGCAAAGGATTGTCTGTCAGAATTGTTTCATGTTGGATTGAAATGTTCCAGCCTTTCTACCCTCTATGGTGTGAGCTGCCCTGAGCAGGGTGTGACCTGGGGCAGGGCAGCTCCTGAAGGAACTGACACTTGGAGGCTGCCTGTTGACGAGGCAGTTAAGTCCTTCCTCAAACGGGAGATTATGTGATACATCTCACTGTCTTTCTTAAGAATGAAAAAATAGTTCCTGGAAGCCCTCCATCAAGACTTGCCCTCACATCTAAGTATTGGATTACATGCCGTGACAGAGACTAGTAATGACCCTTTTTTGCCTTTCTCCATTTTGCTAGTAAAGGGAATCCTGATTTTTCATTGAGTACATGGTCATCTGGAATAATGGCTATATTTCTCAGCCTCCCTTTACATTTAAATATGTCAATAACTTTTGGCTGACGGGATATAAGTTGAATTGTCCTATTTGACTTAGAGGGAGGGGATGTGCACCTTGTTTTCTTTTCCTCCTTCGTGCTGGGTAGAATGTGGGAGTAAAAGTTGGAGTTTGAGCAGCCATCTTGGATTATGAGGTGGAAGCCACAGGTTGAGGATGACAGAGCAACAAGATAGAAGAGCATTAGGTCCCTGATGATTATAGAAATCCCTTATGTGCTCTGTATTTCTTTCCTTTGGACTTTATATCTTGGTTAAGCCATTACTATTTACATTTTTCTGTCAGTTGCGTTAGGACCTAATCTTTTTATTTTTTTAATTTAATTTTATTATGTTGTGTTAGTCACTATACATTACATCATTAGTTTTTGATGTAGTGTTCCATGATTCATTGTTGGCGTATAACACCCAGTTCTCCATTCAGTACATGCCCTCCTTAATACCCATCACCGGGCTAACCCATTCCCCCACCCACCTCCCCTCTAAAACCCTCAGTTTGTTTCTCAGAGTCCATAGTCTCTCGTGGTTCGTCTCCCCCTCCAATTCCCCTCCTTCATTTTTCCCTTCCTACTATCTTGTTTCAGAGGTATAGGGCATTAGGACCTAATCTTAACTGATACACATTTCCATGTGTATAAACCATGATTGGCTCAGACTAACATCTTGGGGCTAAATGGATATTGGGAGTAAGGGATGGAGATATCAATATCCGGGTAAGTACAGTAGAGGGAGAGAAGGGGAAAGAAGCCAAGGGATTTGCAGGTGATGATAATTGTGATGGACCATGGAATCTTAACTAGTAAGTGGGAAAGTCAAATGTGTAGGTGGTGGGTGATGAACGTGAAGAAGTGATCAGTGAATTGGAGGTCCCCTTAGGGCTGATGACTTCCTGGAAAAGGGGAGCTAGCCTAAATGAACTTGAGACAAAAGAGATAGTGGTCATAACGTAGGATGCCTAAAATGAAGATTTTGGTGCTTTTGCTGTTACAGATAATGGCAGGGCCCAGAGGAGTGGATGACTAATGTGGGGTGGAGGAAAAGACCGTTAATGGTGAAGTTAAGAAATGGAGAGCTTGGGTTCTGATTGGAACATCTTGGATGTTGATGTAGTTGAATGGAAGACAATGAACTAGATGCTGTTATCGGTGGGTGAGAAGGAGTAACTGGGATGTCAGTAGTTAACTCAGAAAGTAGGGGAGGCAGATCCAGAGGAGAACATCTGTTTCAGAAAGGCTGACGTTGGTGACAGAAGACAGAGGAAAAATGATCTGGAAACAGCAGTGAGGAAGGAAATAGCATCCTTCTTAAATATTAAAAAGTTACATATAGCAAAAGATAACACACAAAATATAAAGAAAAAAGTAAACTGAGAAAATATATTTATAGTGTATTTAACATGCAGATGGGAGCTCCTTAATATAAAAAGAGCTCCTAAACACTAATTTGGAAAAGATAACTTGGTGGTAAAGTGGGCACAGAATATGAAATTTTAATTCACAAAGGAGGAAATGCAAATGACCAGAACATATGAGAAGATATTCAAGCTTCAGGGTTGGTACCAGTCAAAACATTAATGACATATCAGGATATGCCTATCATACTGGCAAGACCTAAAAATATTGACGAACTTCATACTCAGCAGGAGTGGGGGAAGACAGGTGCTGATGGACACTGCTCGTGGGGTGTGGTAGATTGCCTTCAGAAGCAAGATGCGTGTGATGGGTCCGTTGTGTGTTGTGGCTTGATGTGCTTGCCAATCTCAGTTATGTTCTCCACAGTGTTATTGTATTAAATATGCTTTAAATATACCTGTAACTGTGTGGTCTTACTTTTTAAAAACCAACTCATACTGATAAGTAAGTTCTTACAGCCATTTTCATGGTACAAAGTATGGATTTCTTATCTCAGCTAGAAAGATTTAGATATGTTTTTGTTTACTCCTCTTGGTTTTAATGTATTTGTACCCCCTTTTCTTAAGTTTATGGCAAGTATTCTTTTCACCTAGATTTGTATAATCTGACCATTAACTATCCAGTGATTTTCTTCTGGTTATGCATTAATGTACCCACTATGCTTAACTCGTATTGAATTGAGAATTAAGAAAGATACTGATATGTGAAATTTTGTTGGACTTAAGTCTTTTTTTAATTTGCATTACAGACTAACTGGATCTTCTGGGTTTGTAACAGATGGACCTGGAAATTATAAATATAAAACGAAGTGCACATGGCTCATTGAAGGACAGTAAGTAGTAATGGCTGGTTTAATTTTTTTTTTTTTTCTGAGCTCAGTGTGGCATTACTTTTTTTTACAAGCAAAATTAACAATCTGTAACATAAAGTACTTAAAATATTTTTCATTTGATAATTTTTCATCTGACAAGTGAATTTGATTTCATTTTTCTTAATCTTCATTGTTTATCTGAAAAAAGTTTTGGGTTGGATTTAAAGCTGTGAATGAATTATACACACCAGAAATTTGTATATTGTCAGTTATAATAGTTAAAACTATTGAATATTTGAAATGGTTTGCTTAAAGCAGTAGAAAATTACAATATTATATCATTTTTTGTAAGTACCTATTTTTATTGTGGTCAGGAAAATAAAAATACCTGTTACTGTTCAGATGGCTTCTGCTCTGCGCCCCTGTCCCCTTCAGCTCTTGCCTTTGCCTTCTTCTCTTCATGGCAATTTTTTTCTTTTTTAAAGTAGGCTCCACCCTGGACATGGAGCCCAGTGCGGGGCTTGAACTCATGACCCTGAGATCAGGACCAGAGTCAGAATCAAGAGTCAGTTGCTTATTTGAGCCCCCCAGGCAGGCGCCATTCGTTTTTTTTTTTTTTTTTAAGATTTTTAATTTATTTGTCAGAGAGAGAGCAAGCACAAACAGAGGGGAGCAGCAGCAGAGGGAGAAGCAGGCTTCCTGCTGAGCAAGGATCCCGATGCAGGACTTGATCCCAGGACCCTGGGATCATGACCTGAGCCAGGGGCAGATGTTCAACCATCTGAGCCACCCAGGAGTCCTGACAGGTGCCATTCTTAATGGCAAATCTTTAAAGCAGTGTTTCTCAAACTTTGTGGTCTCAGGTCCCCTTTACACTCTTAAATTTCGAGAATTCCAAGTAATTTTTGTTTCTGTGGGTTATCTATGTGTTTATTATGTAATAAATTAACACTAAGGAAACTCTTCATTAACTCATTTAAAGGCAACAATAAACCTACTATATGTCAGCTCATGTGACATATTTTTATGAAAAAGGAAACCCTGTATTTTTAAAAAATGAGTGAAAAGAATGGTATTGTTTTACATTTTTGTACAATCTCTTGTGTCTGGCTCCATAGAAGATACCTGGATTATTATATTTTCTTCTGCATTCACTTTGTTACAATATGTTATTGTGGTTGAAGTATGTGAAGAAAATTAGTCTTCACTTGAATATGTAGTAGGAAAAGGAAGGAGATTTTAATAACCCTTTTAAATAATTTTGGATGGTCTTCTTTGATACTACATCAAAGCTTGACAAGTGCTGATTTCTTAAAAGTAAATTGCAGTGTGGAATCTGAAACAATGTTCATGAACTTTTGGAACTTAAGTTAAAATCTGTTGGTTTTCTTGTACTTTGGAATGGCTCTTTAACCCTTGCCTGGTTTTGTAACAGGATATATGGGTTATTTGGAAAATCATGGTTCACTGAATTATGCAGGTCTTCCAAATTTTGATATATTTTGTGATATAACATGAAAAATCACTTGGTTAACATCACCATTAATCTCATCAGAAAGTTTGAAGCATTGGGAAGTTGCATCTGGGTGGCAGATGCAAATTTTCCATAACTCTAATTATTGCTTGAAAGCTTACATTTTATCTTTGGCAACAAATACTGTCAGTTGTTTTCTTTGAAGTGATAGACTTGCTTTGTTCATTTTTTTTTTAAGATTTTATTTATTTATTTGACAGAGAGACAGCGAGAGAGGGAACACAAGCAGGGGGAGTGGGAGAGGGAGAAGCAGGCCTCCTGCTGAGTAGGGAGCCCTATGTGGGGCTCGATCCCAGGACCCTGGGATCGTGACCTGAGCCGAAGGCAGACGCTTAACGACTGAGCCACCCAGGCGCCCCCTTTGTTCATTTTTAAGAAAGTATCTATCAAATATATAAGTCTGCATAACCATAGTTTCTTAGTTGTTCTTTTAAGTAAAAATGATAGATGGCATTCCGGGAAAGAAGCAACTAGTTCAGCTCACCACCCAAACGATTGCAGGAGTGATTTTCCTTGAGACCACTGTCCTGTGTTACGTAGCAGAAGTGCTTTGTCCGTACCTCCTGTCTTGTCAGGTGGGATATTCAAAAGATGTGTACTCGTGGGTCAAGATTTAATGAAATTAATAGTTTTTACCACTTAATAAAGGTATTCTTACATGAAACCCATTTTTCCTTTTTCTGTGAGCGTCTAGTGGTGAAGAATAACAGTGATTACTGGTCCAGTTTGGTGCTTCCGCCTCGCTCTGTCCTAAGGTGCCGGCAGTTTCTTTCTCCCACCATTGCTCCTGCACCGTTAGTAAATGCCAACGTGCTGATAAAGGCACGTGATATTTTAGGATTATCATGAACATAGATTTGACCTCATAGACATTTTAGGATTATCGTGAACATAGATTTGACCTCGTAGACTGCCTGAAAGAGTCCCAGGGTCCCTCCTGGCATTGCAAGGCCCACAGCTCGAGAACTGCTGCTTTAAGGAGTTGTTTGCCCCTATGCTTCTTATCAGTTCATTCCTATCTGACGTCCTTCTGCAGCATTCCTCTGAAGGTGCTCTTGGTGGTTCCTCCTCAGCCTGAGCAAAACCTTTAACTCCTTCTGCCCCTTATCCCCATACTCAGCCTGCCCATAAGTTCTGCCCGTTTTCCCTCTAGAATGTCTTCCCAATCCATCTCCCTTCTTTTCATCTTCATCTCTACAATTGTTGTGAGACACCAACCATCCTGTCTTTCCTGGGCCACTGTGATAGCCTTGAAATTGGCCTCCCAGATTTTGCTGTTGCCCCTTGCCCATCTCTCGCTTCTCATCTCATGTGGTGTCCTCTGCTGTGTTTCAGACACACTGGTTTTCCTCGTGTTGCTTGGACACATTAACCTTTTTCTCACTTAGACTTGAAGACTGTGCTGTTCCCTCTGTCCAAAACATGGTTCCCTATTCATTTCACATGGCTTATCTCTTGTCGTTCTCATCTCTTCCAGAGGTTTCTGGGGGTAATTCCCTACCACCTGTTGTACACATCACATTCCTTTCATATTTTCACGGTAGCCATCATCAACTGAGTTAACTTGTTTATGAACTTACTTAGTTGTTTGCTTAGAGATGTTAGGTATGTGGCGTAGAGGGAAGGCCTAGGCTGGAGACATATAATTAGGCATCACCAGGATATAAACGGTGCTGATACTGCCAAGAGGTTTTTGAGTGGAGTGTTTGGGTGGAAGCCAGGTTTGAGAGCGAAGACGGTGAGTGGGATGTGAGGAAACAGAGAAAGCAAAGTCTTGTGTGGAGGTTCACTCTCTTCAGCAGAGAGAGGTAATAGCTGGAAGGAGAGTTGAGATTTTTGTTTTTATGTTTTGTTGTTTTTTGTAAAGTATGTGATACTTAAGGAAATTAAAATGAGGATGTGTAAAGTTCCAGATGAGAGGGAGATGTGAAGTGCTTGAGAGATGGACAGAGGAGTGGGCAGGTGTATCTGTTTTGGAAAATGGGGAGTTAAGAGATTTTTGTCTGGGTGCTGAGCTTAAGCAGGGAGGTGGGACCAAATGGTTTGAAACAGTAATCGGGAGTGAGCAGCAACTGTGGAGAAGGAGAGAGAGAATGAGTAGTAGCACTGCTGGCAGACTTGAAGTGCCAGGCGGAAGTTGGTGAGCTGTGACCGGTCCCGAAAGCAGCCTGCCCAGTGGTCTCGAGGACCTCTGGAGGACCCAGTGGTAGGCTTCGTTTTCTTTGCATCTCATCTAAGAGCAGTTCACTGGTGTCCTCTAGACCAGGCCTTTGCCAGGGAGTTCCATGCAAAGGCAGAAGGGTAGGCAAGTATAGAGAACTGGCAGTTGTGTTTGTGAAATGACACAGTGTGGAATCTGAAGTTGAGTAAGGAAGGAAGTGCAGAAACGGAAGGGCTAATGGGTTGGTTCACAGACTGTTAAAGAACAGCCGCTGTACGGATTGTAAGGCCCAGAGAGGCATAGACCGTGGTGATTTTGTTTACCATTGTGCGCTTAGTGGTCTCTTGCACATAGTAAGTATGAAATAGATCTTCGACAAATGACAAGGAATGTCGTTTGGGTACTGTTCTTCATTTTTTATTTTTATTTATTTATTTAAAAGATGACTTATTTATTTATTTGACAGAGACAGCGAGAGAGGGAACACAAGCAGGGGGAGTGGGAGAGGGAGAAGCAGGCTTCCTGCTGAGCAGAGAGGCCCATGCGGGGCTTGATCCTAGGACCCTGGGATCATGACCCGAGCCGAAGGCAGATGCTCAACGACTGAGCCACCCAGGTGCCCTGTTCCTTGACTTTAAAAAGAAATCAATTCAACAAATATTTTTTTGTATTCCTCACATGGGGCTAGTCTAGTTGCTGTTTCATGTCGGTGAGGAGGTAACAGAGAATAAACAGTACACAAGCAGCCCAAGGACACAGGAAATCAGGGGACTAATGTGCCCTTATTTCTTCTCTCCCTGTAAGTTCTTTAAAAATCGATCTCTATCTTCTTCTCAAATGTTTTATAGTTACGATGATTATTATAAACTGCTCTTTTTGTTCTTTTCAGGCCAAATAGAATAATGAGACTTCGTTTCACTCATTTTGCTACGGAGTGTAGTTGGGACCATTTATATGTTTATGATGGAGACTCAATTTATGCCCCACTAGTTGCTGCCTTTAGGTAAGTTTTGTCACATAAGTACTGGTTAATCATTATTAGATTTTTGAATTCAGACTTATCTCCTAGATTGCAAACTTCTGTTGTCACTTGCCACCTGTATTTCATGGAGAGGGTACTAGTTCTGGAGTCCTCTGTCACTTGTGCGCTAGGCCTGACTTGGTTTCCTGCAGCCACTGGGTAAGTTTCTGGGCCGAGTACTGGACCCCTTGTTTCAGTTTCCTGATCTATAAAATCGTGGTAGTAGTATCAAGTTTATATTTTAAAAATGTTTTGTGAGTAGTATATTGGATATTATTTCTGTGAAAAATTTAAGTCATGAACCACAGTCACCTTGATCCTTGCGTTCCTCATTGCATAGGCCTTCAGGAGTTATTTGTTGAGTCCAGATCTAGTTTGTGTGTGTGTGTGTGTATGCATTAATATGGGTGAGGAAAACTTTTTGGAAGAATACACAGAAAATGAAGAGTAACCTGGGGAAAATGAGGAAAATACCAATTATGTATTTTTTTAGCAAATGTATTCTCTATTAATAGTTAAACGAAACAGCTTAACACTAAATATATGGGGTGTTCTCTATTGTTTTGGCATTTTTGTTTTTATTGACAATAAGTAGCTCTGTTGCTTATTATGTTTTTGACTACACGGGAATTCAAAACCATCCATTTTTCTTCCTTGATAGGGCATTTATAAAATATATTTTTCTAAAATGTACATCCCCTTAGAGAGCCATAGCTGTCAGTTTTTCATCTGCAGCTGACTTTCTGGATTTCTTTCTCTCAGACGTTTTATTTCCCTGACTTTATTTTTATTTATTTATTAGATTATTTATTTATTTATTTATTTGACAGAGAGAGACAGCGAGAGAGGGAACACAAGCAGGGGGAGTGGGAGAGGGAGAAGCAGGCTTCCTGCTGAGCAGAGAGGCCAGTGCGGGGCTCGATCCCCATGACCTGAGCCGAAGGCAGACGCTCAATGACTGAGCCACCCAGGTGCCCCGTTCCCTGACTTTAAAAAGAAATCAATTCAACAAATGTTTTTTTGTATTTCTCACATGGGGCTAGTCTAGTTGCTGTTTCATGTCAGTGAGGAGGTAACAGAGAATAAACAGTACACAAGCAGCCCAAGGACACAGGAAATCAGGGGACTAATGTGCCCTTATATTTCTCCACTTCCTTTGGCTTAGAATTCTCTCTAGCATATCTTTGAACTGAGAACCAAGGTCATTTTCTGGGTTTGAGAGGTTCACTAATGGAGCCAAAGAGCAGGGTAGATAGGCCATGCTAAGCAGTAAAATGTCATTGTCCAAGTGTGGGGTGTACATATTTTTATGCCAGAATTTGAAGCATACCTTGGGTTATGGCAAGAGGCACCCCAAACTTCGACACAAGCATGAAAACTGTCTATATTAAGATGTTATCATGGTAATACTTGCTGGGGGTTCACTTGACACTGAGTTCATGAATCAAGATTCATGGAGTCCCTTTTATGTGCTGGGCACTATGACTCAGCTTGCCAGCGGCCCTTGTGGGAAGGGCCCAAGCCAAGCAGGTGCATCACCATGTGGCTCCCCTGGACTGTGTATTTGATGAGCACACATGTGAAGCAACACCAACAACAAAGCAAGCAGGAGGCTATAATTTTTCTAGTCCGTGACTTCTGAGAGAAGCCAAAGTATATGTGCAAATAACAGGAAGGTTTTTATGTTTTTCTAAAAAAGCTGGCTAACTGATAATATGAATTAACACATTGATTATTTTAAAAATTTAAACTTATATTTAGTGTGAAATTTCTAAAATGATAGAAAATATGTGTCTAAAAATTGAAATTTGCCTGAAACACAAAACCCCTAAAGGCAGTGACGTTCAGAACACCTTGAAAACCACTGTTGAAGCCATGAGGGTGCCGTCACAAGATGGGGACTGAGGAGTGCTGCTGGATCAGGAGAGCTTTAGAGGGAAGAATCAACCCAGTGGTGATGTGCGGGTTGGCGGGGAGGGAGGGCAGAGTGGTCAGAGCCTGCTGACACACAGCCCAGCTAATGAGATAAGAAGCCCATGGGATTTAGAAGGTGGGGACCGTGTATGTCAGTTCTGCCGAAGTCCCTGTGTCAACTCAGACAGGTCACGTAAGTGCTCTAGTCCTCAGCTTCTGCTGCCTCAAGTCCCAGTGTTGGACCACGTTTCCTGTGAGTGTGTTGCAAACTGCGAAGTTCCATTCGATTCTAAACTGGTTCATCGCATTTATCTTTTACATATTGAAGTTCCGAATAAAATTTGTATATCAGATCAAGTTCCATTAGCAGACAAATCTGAGAACCACCGGAGCAGGATTCTTCCAGCTGTACCACATTTTGATCTTGTGGTGCATCCAGTTCAACAAATGTGTAAATGTAGCCCCTTTGTGGAGTAGCTCCTCTGCGAGGATCTGTCGGGGATGTGGAGGTGGTAGTGGTGATGGAGTGGGGAGAATGGTTTTCCTTTCTGAGAACTTTCTTCATCAGAACATTATTCCTTTTAGAGTTGGTTGTTTTTTCTGGGGTGGGGGTGGTGAGTCATATATTGATAAGGCAATTGTTTAGACTGTGATGAAGAGCTGTGTGAAAGCAGGAGTCCAGCAGTTGTCCAGCACTCAGCTGACCCAGTTGACGCCGTGGTCAGACCACGGCACACAGAGAAGCAGTCAAAGGCAGGCACCTCAGGTTCGTGGACCTTCTTTCACCAGGCAGAAGTACAGACCCTGCCTAGGCCCGTCGCCAGACTCTGACCCCTGACTTTAAGAACCTGGCTTCCCTTGCACATCTCCCTGCCCTTGAGGGGCATCTAATCTTGCAGGGAGACAGGTGTGTCAAACCTAGGATCACTAGGAAACTCGGCTGGTGTAGTTGGTGAAGGCAGGGTGTGCCCCGGGTGTGTTCGGAGAGCCCATGTCTGCCTGGCACCATTCTAATGAATTAAGAAAATATCTTTGAACAGCGATTTTCAAAAATGGTTCTTACCAGTGGTTTAAAATAGAAGATTATACAGAACCCCAGGGCAGTTCTTGATTTGCTCAGGTTGAACGAGTGGCTGCCACCTAAGCTGTGGCTGCCTGTATTTATCTACCTGGGGGCAGGGGACGGGGAGGGTGGTGGGAGGCGGCTCGGGGTGATGGCGGAATGGCACGCCGGCAGCATCGCTTTCTCACCCACGCGCTTTCCATTGCTTTGCGTGCTGGGGTGAGGCTGTGTTTGTATTCATTTACTGTAGAAGTTTATTTTTGTCATAAACCAGTTGTTTTATTTTCACTGGGAGAAAGTGGCACATTCCAAAGCTGTCACAATGTCAAGTTTTCAAAGTGAAAAGAAGCCAATGCCCGAGTCTCTCTGACAGTGGGGAAGCTGACCCCCTTTCTCCAGCATCATGGTCATCTGGTGCAGACGGCCTTCCCACCCCTGCCGTGCCTCTGTCCTTCCTCCCTCTGCCCGTTCTCGCACCCTTAAATGTCCCTACCGTATGAATAATAAATACCATGAGCCATCGCTTACTGAGCACCTACTAGTGTGAGGCAGTGTTTCAGCACTTCACGTGCTGTAATAGTTTGCTTCTCATTCTATTGCTGCGGGGCAGGTAGGATTTCTGCCCGTGTGCAGTTGAGGACACTGAGGTTCCCAGATGTCCATGACGTGCCCAGGCATGTGGAGTGAGGCTCGGCGTTCCCATCTCTGGTCCTGAAGGTCACGCTAGGAGAAGAGTGCAGGTCTTCCACATGTGACTGAAGCCCCCAGTCATTCCTGGGCTGGTGTTTCTTATGAGAAGATTACTTGCAACATACCTGGCCCTCTTACAGGTACTTCCCTGTTCAGCATTTCAAGGGGTTCTGGTACATAAAATTGATGAAAGCATGATGATGATGGTTGAAAACTTCATATAGGTCTCTGATCAAAGGTCACCTTTTCCGAGAGGCCTTCCCTAGCTGCCCCTTTCCAAAGTAGCACCTATGTTCTTTCACTGTTTTTTTCTTTCCATAGCACTTATCTCTGCATGGTGCTACATACACACACCTGTGTGTCGGGGCAGGGGGTATATCCAGGTATATCTAGTCGTTTCTTTAATGTGAATTCCGTGGAGGCAGGGTGTTCTTCACTGCTGTGTTCCTAATACCTAGAACAGTGCCTTACCTGCAGCATCGGTAAATATTGGTTAGTTGACTACATGATGCAAAATGCTTCACTGTTTTGTAAACCCCGGAGCACCTTTGGAGTTCTCGAGTTCCTAGAATTCTGTCTTTATATTTAAAAGTCGTACTGAATGAAAATCCCGGCCCCTCCTCATTTCTCGCTTCTGTATTCTTCAGTTTCGTTATTTTTATATGCACTTATCTAAAATTGTGTAAATGTACACATGCACTAGGCCCATTGTTTTGCAGCTTGTTTTTTTCCCCTACTTATCAGAATGCCTTGATGAGCTCCTTGTTGGGTTCTGCAGACTTACAGATATGGAATGATTCATTCATCTGACTCCCTGCAGATGAGCATTTACGTGGTCTTCTTCTTCCTCTTCCTCCTCCTCCTCTTTCTTTTAATTAATCACTATGCTCAACGTGGGGCTTGAATTCATGACCCCTAGATCAAGAGTCACATGGCCTGCCAACTGAGCCTGCCCCTAGGTGGTTTTCAACCTGTGCCATTTTGAATAGTGCTGCAGTGAGGATTGTTGTATATTTGCCTTTGTATACATGAGCAAGTGTTAGTTCTACAAAGAACTTAGAATTGCTAGGTCACAGTGAATGACCATTGAAGATTGTCATAGGCCCTGAGCGGGGAGCTTACGTGATGTGTGCTGTAGGAAAGCAAGGAGGCCAGTGTGGCTGGGGTTGAGCGAGTGAAGCGAAGAGAGTAATAGATGAGATGTTTGTTCACTGGGTGGGGTTGTGTGTATGGAGCAGATTGCATAGGGCCTGGTAAAGATTCAGGTTTTCACTGAACATGGTGGTGGTGGCAGTGATAGTGAATTGATAATTGGGCAAAAGATGTACACATATGAAGAAATGCGGAAGGTAAGTGAACAGGAAAAATGATTAACCTCAGGAGTGTAAAAGAAACTCAAAACCACAAAATAAGAGAATTAACTTGTTTATAGCAGCAGTGTCCATAATAGCCAAACTATGGAAAGAGCCAAGATGTCCATCAACAGATGAATGGATAAAGAAGATGTGGTATATATATATATACAATGGATTATTATGTAGCCATCAAAAAAAAAAAACACCCCGAAATCTTGCCATTTGCAACGACGTGGATGGAACTAGAGGGTATTTTACTAAGCGAAATAAGTCAATCAGAGAAAGACAAGTATCATATGACCTCACTGATATGAGGAATTCTTAATCTCAGGAAACAAACTGAGGGTTGCTGGAGTGGTGGGGGGTGGGAGGGATGGGGTGGCTGGGTGATAGACATTGGGGAGGGTATGTGCTATGGTGAGAGCTGTGAATTATGTAAGACTGATGTATCACAGACCTGTACCTTTGAAACAAGATAGTAGGAAGGGAAAAATGAAGGGGGGTGGAAATCGGAGGGGGAGACGAACGATGAGAGACTATGGAATCTGAGAAACAAGCTGAGGGTTTTAGAGGGGAAGGGGGTGGGGGATGGGTTAGCACGTTGATGGGTATTAAGGAGGGCACGTATTGCATGGAGCACTGGGTGTTATACACAAACAATGAATCATGGAACACTACATCAAAAACTAATGATGTATGGTGACTAACATAACATAATAAATTAAAAAAAATTACTTTTCATTTACTAAATTACCAAAGCTAAAATAGGACTGGTAATTAATCCTTCCTATTGTCAAGTGAGGTAGGATGGACCTTTCCATTCTCATATTTTTTTTTTAAAGATTTTATTTATTTTATTTTTTATTTTTTTAAAGATTTTATTTATTTATTTGACAGAGAGAGAGCGAGAGAGGGAACACAAGCAGGGGGAGTGGGAGAGGGAGAAACAGACTCCCCGCGGAGCCGGGAGCCCGATGCGGGGCTCGACACCAGGACCCTGGGATCATGACCTGAGCTGAAGGCAGACGCTCAAGGACTGAGCCACTCAGGCGCCCCAAGATTTTATTTATTTATTTGACAGAGAGAGCGAAAGAGCACAAGCAAGGGGAGCAGAGGGAGAGGAAGAAGCAGGCCCCCTTCAGAGCAGGGAACCTGATGTGGGACTCGATCCCAGGACCCTGGGATCATGACCTGAGCCGAAGGCAGATGCTTAACCATCTGAGCCACCCAGGCGCCCCCCATTCTCATATTGATGAGATTTCAAGTTAGCATGTTGCTTCTGGAAAACAAGTTGGTTTTATGGATCAAGAGCCTTAAAGCCATCATTTAGACCCTTTGACTTGATAATTTTTAATGCTCTTTAGGCACCTAGCAAATATATTGTGTGTTGGACTCTGAATGAGATGGGAAATGCTTGTGATGTATTTCTTGTAAAATAGAATATAAGATGTTATATGGTATCAATTAGGCAAAGAAAGTACATCAGAATGTTAAGTGTTAGGATTGTGGATGTTTATCAATTTATTTATTTATATTTTTACTTTTCATGCTTTTCAGTAGTTTATATTTGGCATTCATCAACTCATAAAATTTGTTACTTTCTGTGATTTTGAAGGTTTACTCAGTTTTTCGAAGAAGCAACATAAATAGTTTTATATACAAAAAAAAAGAAGAAGAATAGGGCCATTGAGTGCAAATCTCATTAGAAATATTAGCAGGATGAAGGAGAGCCTAGCGAAAGATTCAGATCTGTTCCTCAGAGGATTCAGAACTAGATCCAGAACTAATTGGGTGGTGCGACGCGTTTATCACAAGAATTTGCCCCTCTTCCGGAAAGTGTTTTTTCAAATTCTAAGGATGAACTCCAGTTTTGAATTTGTGTTCTGCCATGTGCCGTGCCTGGTGACCATGCTTCCCTTTGTAAGAAATGTGTTTTTGTTTCAGCGGTCTCATCGTTCCCGAGAGAGATGGCAATGAGACTGTCCCTGAGGTTGTTGCCACATCAGGTTATGCCCTGCTGCATTTTTTTAGTGATGCTGCTTATAATTTGACTGGATTTAATATCACTTACAAGTAAGATATTTAAGTCTAATCTTTGTGATTTTATTCAAAGACTGTATTTGTTTTAACAGTAATAATGGCTAACATATATTGAGGGGTGACAGTGTGCCAGGCATTGCAGTAAGCACTATGCATGGGTTTTCTCATTTAAAGTTCTTTTAAAAACTCCGTGAGATACGGGCACTATGTTTTCACTTGTTCTATAATTGAGGAAACTGGTGGGAAGTGGTAAAATACATTGTCAGAGTGCTGGGACCACAGTTTCAACCCAGGTCTTAACTGCTTTTGAGCTTCTCCTGGAGCTTTGCGCAGTGGCAGTATCGTAGCCAATGAGATTTATCCGAGGCGCGATTATTGCTAATTGAGCTTCTCCTGGAAAAGAGGGGCATTTTTCTGCTAATGGATGAAAACATTGGGGTTTCTTGCTAAGTGCAGTTTAACAGATACTAGTAGTTTTCACGTACTCAGTGGTTGGCCCATTGATGAGGACTTAGTTGAGGTTACAAAGGAAATGTAGACAAACAGACCTAGACAGCTTTGGGAATTTGTTGTGATAGGGGAGAGGCTAACTTTTGTCCTTTCTTTTTTTCCTTGTAAGAAGTGTTTGTTTTCATTAAGTAGTTAAATCCATAAAGCACCCTAAGCAAGAGGTCTCTGATAAAGGACTTCTGTGGCCCACAGAGCCTAAGATACTATTTGGTTTTTTTATGGAGTAAGTTTGCCAACTCCTGGCAGAGGCAGTAAGCTCCATGTATAACCTTTATGCTGGATTCTTTTTCTGCCTGTTTTCTCAGGGTCTCCAGATTCTTTCAGGCCTATCTAGAGCCATCTCTGTCTTGCTTGGTTTGCTGATTTAGCTTTTCAGGTGCCCTTGGTTTGTGACTTGGTAGCCTGGGCAGCGTATCACAGTACTAGCAAGGTGATTTTTAGTGAGCCAGGCAGGCATAAAGGCTGGTTGAGAGGAAAGACTGATAAGTCTGGTTGGGTACATGTGAGATGTCTAAGTAGGACATTGGTATTCAGATCCAGGGCCCAGAAGAGCTGTCAGGGCTGGGGATATCATCTGGGAATCACTGGCACATGGACAGTGACTGGATTATGGGGCGTGTGCACAGTGAGGACAGGGGCAGTAGAGGCAGCTGAAGGGCAGAGCAATGCCAGGGGACTGAGTTGTCACAGAAGCTCGGAAAAGTCTTAAGGAGGGAACTGAGGTTGAGTAAGCAGAGTGGGCCCTAGGTGACCCTAGCTGGGGAGGGTTGGAGGCAGGGGTCTACAAGGGGCATAGTTCAGAATGGAAGGTTAGAAGGTCACAGCATTGAGAGTGGGACACTCTGGGAAGAAGTTCAGCTCTGAAGGGGAAGGGAGAGGTTTAGGGCGGTACTTTTCAAACTTCACATGCACAGGGATCTCCTGGAGGGGCTTGTTAAGACAGATCCCTGGCCCTTCTCCAGAGACCATAGTTCGACAGAGCTGGGGCTTGAGAATCCAAATTTCTGATAAGCTCCTGGGTGATGCTGCTGCCGCCTGTCCGTGATCGATACTCTGAGGAGCATTGCCCTAGCCATTCATCTAGGCCCCATTCTGGGCTCCCTACAGATTTTTTTTTTCTTTTAAGATTTTATTTATTCATTGGAGATAGAGACAGAGAGAGCACAAGCAGGAGGAGAGGCAGAAGGAGAGGGAGAAGCAGGCTCCCTGCTGAGCTGAGAGCTGGATGCTCCATCCCAGGACCTGAAGATCATGACCTGAGCCGAAGGCAGACGCTCAACCATCTGAGCCACCCAGGCGCCCCGAAATTCATGTTATTCTTACCCTGATTGGTGTAGGGGAAGCTTGATCTCTTCTGGAGACCAGAATTAGTATTTATTTGTTAAGCGGAGGAATGTTGAGGTTATCCTAAATTTTACTAGCTTCTTGGTTACAAGATACCTGTTCTTTAAAAAGGAGCCCTAAACCATTTTGGGGCTTTTAGACCCTTTGAAAAGCCAAATAAAATGATGTTCTTTATTCCCAGAAGAATGTCCAGAAAGACATACATAAAACATTGTTATTCATTTTCCAGGTGTCCTCAGGTTGCACTGAATCCTAGCTTTGGGCCGACCTCAGGTGGGGGACCCTTGAGACCAGTACCCACAGCTACTTCAGTGTTGCCAAATTTTCTTTTCAAAGAAGAAAAAAATAGTTATATTTTATTTTCACACAAACTGGCTCATCTTACTTCCCAGTCACATTTTAAGCACAGATAATTAGACTAATTTTCTCATTACTCCAATTTAGACATACAAGCAGATGTTTTGATGTATTACCTGCCACTTTCATTTTTCAGAGATTCAAAAATGATTTTTGTGTTTTGAGATTTTTTTGTAACTTTAAAGAGTGCTCATAATTAATTTTTGGCACATGAAGTAAACGTATGCCTGAGGGCACTGGAGTGGAGAAGTTGAGGGGCGGGGAAGTTGCGATATTTGCCCTCCTTCAGCTTAGAAGGTGCTAAGGGTTACTCCCTCCCCTTCCTTTTTCAGTAACATTAAGTTTTGTTTGTTTGCCATTGTCTCGTATACGGTTAATAAGTGTGTCAGTAGGAAATTATGATTTGACATATTTTTGGTGTGAGGCATAAGGGTGAGCACATCATGGCAATGCTTTCCTGCAGTTTTATTCTAGGTCTTTTATAAAAACAAAGTGTGGTTATTGTAGCCATTTTACTGTAACAAGTCCAATCTGCAATTTAAACTTTAGTTTTTATAAACTGTTGTCTTGCAAAGGCCTTTTTCTTAATAAAGATGAAATTGAAGCTTCTCTTCCGTGTTTGTATTATTATAGAGACAGTAGACACCACTTTTTAGAGGCCTATAAGAATGTCATTCAGCTTTTTTAGCCAAATACTTTGTGTACTTATTCTGCTTACTGGGGCTTGAAAGGTAGGTATACACATTTCTTACATTCTAATTACATAGATTATAAAAATACTGTATATAAATATTTATAGTGTAATAAACTGATATTTGGGTGTAGGTGTGAACATTAATTAGCTTGTTTTTTAATAACTGATTCCTGATTTTTTGACATGCTTTGCTACAAAATTTCTTTTTAGTTTTCTTCATAGGCCTTAGAAGAAACCATCTACACTCTTAAAAGTATCCTGATAGTTCGGTTATTGCTCCTCCCTTTAAGAATCTGAATTATGTCTTCTCAGAGTGCTGTCAATATCTTAAGTCATGTTATCATGCGACACATTATAGTTAAACTGTTGAGTTAAACTGGTCCTCCCTTTACTTCCATCTGACATGAGTAGATAAACTTACGGAGGAATTTTAAATACACCAATCTGGGCAATAATCTTTAATTCTCTGAACTTTCAGAGACTGTCCAGGGGTATACACACCATGAGGATGGGTAATATATTGTTAGCACTTTGTATTATCCTCTTCCTCCAAACTTGCAAGCTTGCATTTGACAATTTTCTGTTTTTCTTTTTTCTTTTAATTTTTATTTATTTGAGAGTGAGAGCAAGTGAGCATGAGCAGGGGGAGGGGCAGAGGGAGAGGGAGAAGCAGACTCCCCACTGAGCAGGGAGCCCGACATGGGGCGCAGTCCCAGGACCCTGAGATCACAACCTGAGCCAAATGCAGATGCCTAACCTACTGAGCCACCCAGGCGCTCCTCATTTGACAGTTTTCTAATGCTCATCACTGGGGGGGCCACCAAGAACAGCATAGTCATCCCTCCCTTGAGAAGCTAAGCCTGGACATTTTGCAAGAATTTCTTCTCCCTTTTAAGTTTTTTAACTTGCCTCCCCTTATGAGAATCCAGCAGCGTTGGATTTGATTTCATTACCTGCCTATGCAGTGTTGAGTGATCCCATTTAGGCCCACTGGTAAGTACTGCCATTATGCTTGTGAATGAACTGGAAAGCCAATGAGAGTCTTAAACCATGTGTAGGTGAAAGTTCTGCTAAGTAAGTGTTGCTTTGTGTTGATTTCATTCTCTGCCACTGTTTTTATAGTTTTGACATGTGTCCGAACAACTGCTCAGGCCGAGGAGAATGTAAGAGCAATAATAGCAGCAACACTGTCCAGTGTGAGTGTTTGGAAAACTGGAAAGGGGAAGCATGCGACATTCCTCACTGTGTCCATGACTGTGGTTTTCCTGATCGAGGTATTTGCAATTCGAGTGATGTCAGAGGATGCTCCTGCTTCCCCGAGTGGCAGGGTAGGAGCTTCTTTTATCTTTGTTTTTCTTCCAGTTTACAGCACCTTCCTAGTTCAGTAAATTGTACATTGACTTCATTCCTTGCATATGTACCACTTATTTTAATCAGATATCAGGTAGCATTGAAGTTTTTGTGTCTCCTTATTCAGATTCTTAAAAATCTTTCCATTTCATAGATGTGTGGTTGTGGTCTCTTTAGAATTGTGGAGGGGTTTGACATTCTTTGCAATTCATTCATGAAAATTGGAGGACTTGGTCTCAGCCTCAAGAAAACATAGCAGAGAACCAAGCCTAGGAGGTGGGACGAGAACTGACAATGATAGTATCTCTCAGAAACTTTCAATAAATTCGGAAAAAAATTGGGGTTGATTATACAATAGAATCCTAAAACAGCGAGTGGAATTATCTGCAGATAAAGAGGTTATCAGAGAAACTTTAGCAAATTCTTTAAGGGTTGTGTGATAACACCTCTTACTGATTTAGTAATTTTCTTTATACATTTACCTTTTCTTCAGAGCACTTTTATTTTGAAAGGAAATGTGCTTGTTTAAATGCTTTCATTTGTGTACTTTGGCCGACATCAACGAGTTAAGTAATTGAAGTGTTTGAGGACCTACCTCTGTGCACAGGTTGCAGCAGGAGCCACACCCCCAAGAATGGAGTTTCTTAATTTTCCAGGAATTGGATGGGTTGTATTATTACTCCTGGGGCTAGTCCTTACATTTTAACCCTAAAGTTTTTCATTTGAATTAATAATTTCTTTGTCTACTCTCTCCTCTGAGAGCTGCTTAAGCAAGTATTTCATTACTAAAAAATCCTAACCTGGGTATGGTCACATCATCATGAGAAAGTATGTGGTTTTGAATTTTACTAGAGATGACCCTTGGTCACCAGCTTTTAGTGAACTGAAAGCATGAATTAAAGGGTTTTGTCTGATATTTAGATGCTAAAGGAAAGACTAACTATTCTTTAGATATTTGTTACATTTATATGATTAAAACTTGAAATGCAGTAATTTTAAAGCTGCATTTTGTGAAACTAATTTATTCTGTTTTATTAGGTCCCGGATGTTCAATTCCTGTACCAGCTAACCAGTCATTTTGGACTCGAGAGGAATCTTCAAACCTAAAGCTCCCCAGAGCCTCTCACAAAGCTGTGGTCAATGGAAATATAATGTGGGTTGTTGGAGGATATATGTTCAACCACTCAGATTACAACATGGTTCTAGCGTAAGTTGTTTTAAACATTTTTGCAAGAAGCTTACTAGTTTTCCATTTTGAAAATTTATGAAGTAGAGATAAGTGAAAAGAAATCATCAGTAATTCTATTACCTGAGGAAAATCCCTGTTAATATTTTAGTAGTAGTGTTCCAGAATTTTTTGGACATATTCTTAGTTTTTGAAGTCCGGACCCACAAAGAATGCATTGTTATAATAAGCAAGAATTCATCTTTTCTAGATACCATCTCTTATATTTTGCTTTAGGCTATATATAAATTGGGGGTTACTTTACCTATAAATTTAATTAGCATTTCTGTAGATCAGATGGTTTGAATTTATAGCTTGCTAGAGGAAATTATGTCATTGTCTAATACTTGACCCAGAGTTCAAGGTCTGTTTGCTGGTCCTATGTTGCTCATCTTAAAGGGAGACTGTATGGAATCACAGTGGAGTCATGAAGTTACTTACGAAGATTGATTTTAGGAGAAATTTATGAACACAAACTCATGCTGATTTTGTGCCCTGGAAATTTTTTCTAGGCATTTTTTTATTAATGAAGATTGTCAAAAACCAGCATCTGTTCTTTAAGGGATTCAGAAACTATGGCAGCAATGGCATAGTTTCTGAATCCCTCAAATAGTCATTAAAGCACATAGACAACTAGGATAGCAAAATGAAAAAGCACATGGGTAACAAAACAAAACTTGGTCAGAAGGTGTCTACACAGATAGGTGGTGCTAACAATTGACAGCTGCAAAATCTGTGTGGTGTTGGCATCTGAGCAGGAGTAAGCAAAGAGGGGGAGTAAGTGGTCAACTGACAGGCTCCAGCATACCTAGAAGAAGCTGCTTTGAGAACGGCAGCCAGAATTGGAAAGATTTGTGTATTTTGGTAGGGGGTGAGCACAAGGGATCTGTAGTAGGATCTGAAGGGGCTAGAGCAGTTTGTGCCTGTTTAGCTCTCAAAATGAACTAGCCAGTCTCTTCACAAGAGAAAGTTCCACACTAAGGAGAAACTGCTGGGAATAGAATTCAGATTGAAGAGGATAGGGACCTTAGAGGAAAAGTTAAAAGAGTGTACAGATAACAGTCAGGGAGGGGAACAGAGCCAGATATCTCAACAAGTAAGCTGCTGTGTTTTGAACACCACACTGTTGACAACAAGAGTGAGCTAGAGGGCTGAGAAATTAGGAAGATGGTCCTAACCCAGGCCTCTCCTGTACAAGTTCAGGAAAAAGTAGTTTTACTTAAAACTGAGCAACAGAAAAGCATCAAGTTTTAATAACATAGAAAATTAAAAGTTGAAGTAACATAGAAAGAAGAAAGAGACCACCTGGTAGAATAACCCCCCTTTGTAAGTGAAAGCATAATAGAAAAATATACTCACAAAACTGATGAAAGTGAGAACTTACTATTCCCAAACAAGCTAAAATACAGGAAGAAAGTGATGCAAGACATGAAAGAACAATAGAATCAGAAGTAGAAAAATCCGGAAATGAGATGGTAGAAGTTAGGAAAGAATTTTAAAATAATTTCAGAATTGAAGACAAACCCAGGAGGAACACAAAGTAAATAAGATACTCCTTTATTTTTTTTTTTAAAGATTTATTTCTTTATTCTAGAGAGAGAGTGCGGGTGCACACAAACACAGGAGCGGGGTGGGGGGAGAGGGAGAGAAGCAGACTCCTCACTGAGTGCGGAGCCTGATGTGGGGCTCAGTCTCACGACCGCAAGATAATGACCTGAGCTGAAACCAAGAGTCAGATACATAACTGACTAAGCCACCCAGGTGCCCCAATTCTCCTTTAGTAATAGAATATGAAAAAGGAAATTATTAAAAATCACAAAGAAATGAAGGTCACTTTTCCCCTATTCTTTATGGTAAGTACAGTTAAAAGTCCTGGACATTATATATAATGCAAACATGAGAAAACTCTAAAAGATAGAGAGAAGGCAGTCTGGCTAGGGACCTCGGGACCCAAGGAATGAGGTAATGGTAAATTCCAGGGGTCTTCTTTTTGTCTCATATATCTCAGATTTGTTGTTGGAAAAAGCAACAATCTGGAAATGCCAGTAGGCACAAGCTGAGAAAGCCCCATGAATAAGCCCACCTGTTCTCTCTAGCCTAAGGACTAGGAGAGGGGCAGCTTAGGAAGACAGAAAACTTTTAGACACAAATAACTGCTCTACTACAGCCAAACACTACAGAAAGAACTGTGGCTCCACCCTCATTCCTGTTAGCAAAGTCTGAGTGTAGAGTCTAGATTTTCACTCTTACCAGGATCTAGTGAGGTACTCCAACCACCTCCCAACTGCCGGTGTTAGAAAAGACCAATTAGGGAGCTGGGACTTTCTCAGCAATCTGGTTTTTGTGTAACCTAGTTAATATTTAGCCTTTTGGTTTTTGTTTTTGTATGTTTTTTGCTTACAGTCTTAATCTCTGAAGGCCAGTTAGGGAACTGGAACTTTCTTCTCCACCAGGCAGGAATGAGGTTTCCCCCACCCTTGTGATGTCAGTGGAGACCTTGTGGGGAGCCTGGATTCTACCCCACCCAGGAGTAACAGCAGTAATAAGTTGGCCTTCCCTCTTCTCTACTGGGGTGTCAGAGGAGGCCTGCTATAACAGTAGATTTAAATAAGATCCGGAGTCTCATGCCATGAAACCCAAAATGTTCAGATTTCAATTGAAAATCATTTCTCCATGTGAAGAGCCAGGAAAATCTTAACTTGAATGAAAAAAGGCAGTTGAGATGGTGACAGCAGGATGACATAGATATTAGAATTATCTGACAAGATTTTAAAGCAGCCATTATAAAAATGCCTCAGTGTGCAATTATAGACACTGAAACAAATGAATAATGGAGCCTCATCTCCATTATTCTCCAAGAAATAGAAGATAGAAGGAAAAATCAAATGGAAATTTTAGAACTGAAAAATACAGTAACCAAAACAAAAATCTCAGTGGACAGGGTCAACAGCAGAATGGAGAGGACAGAGGAAAGAGTCAGTGAACTTGAAGATAAAATAATAGAAATCCCTCAATCTGAACCAGTGAGAAAATAGAATATTTAAAAAAATAAACAGAACTTAAGAGACCTGTGGACCATAACAAAAAAAATCTTAACATTTCTGTCACCGGAGGAGTCCTGGAAAGAGAGGAGCCAAGAGAGAGTGTCTGAACAACTATTCAAAGAAATAATGGCTGGGAATTGCCCAAATTTGGCAGAAGACATGCATGTACGTGCAAGAAGTTGGGTGACCTCCAGCAATCCTTGGCTCCCATAGGGGTTCACAATCCTTTGGTTTTGTCTCAGTCTTGCTCTCATTCTTCTGCTCAGCCGCCATATTTCTTTTCAGTTTTCAAATTTCCACCACATTTTCGCCTGTGTTCATTCTCAGCTATTGGCCTTGCTTCCTGTTTCTATTTTGAAAGGTAACGGTTATCTGAAGAGGAGTTGCACAAACTCCCACCACCATATTTAGCTATTACCTACATCTGTGCTCATTTATCCCGTCTTCTGTTTCTGTACATCACCACTGTCTAGTGGGGTGCTGTCATGTCACTAGCCATGTGTGGTCATTGAGCTTGAAATGTGGCTAACGTGACCAGGGAGCTGAACTTTAAATTTTCAATTCTTGGTCCTCATCTTACTTGATCTTTCACCAACATTTGATATAACTAGTCCCTCCCTCCTTTTTTTTTTTTTAAGGTTTATTCATTCATTTGAGAGAGAGTGCGCACGCTTGAATGCACACACAAGTTGAGCGGGGAGGGAGAGGGAGAGAATCCCCAAGCAGACTTCTTGGTGAACGCAGAGCCTCAGGCAGGGCTTGATCCCAGGAACCTGAGATCATGTCCTGAGCTGAAATCAAGAGTTGGAAGCTCAACAGACTGAGCCACCCAGGCGCCCCTCCCCCCCCACTTTTAAACACTTTTTTCAGTTGGCTCCCAGGATTCTATATTCTCTTGGTATTTGTTCCAACTACTTATTCTTTCTCAGCCTCTTTAGCTGGTTCCTCTTCAACTGACTGACTTCTGAATGATGTTGTGCTGCTCCAGGGCTCAGCTCTTGGTCCTCTTCTGTGAGAGTATATATTCACTCTCCTGGTGATCTCATGTAATATCTTGGCCTTTATGTTGATGACCCCCAGATTTATGTCTGCATCCTAGACTTTTCACCTGAACCCATATCGCCACCTCTTTATTTTACATCTCAATCTTTTGGCTGTCTAAGAGGTATCTTAAACTGTATGTGTCCAAAACTAATCTTTCCTCCAGGCCAGTTCTTGCCCCAGATGTCCCTATCTCAGTTAATGACTATTTCATACTTCTTTTTGCTTAATCCCAACATTTTGGAGTCATCCTTGACTTCTTGTTTTTTCACTCCCCATTTCAATGAGTAAATTAGCTATCATTTGCTGCATAACAAATGACCACAAACGTAGCAGCTTTAAAACAGAACATATTTATTACCTCATAGTTTCTGCTGGTCAGGAGTCTGGGCATATCTTAACTGGGTGCTTTTCAGTCAGGGTGTCACCTGGCCTGTCTTCTCATCTAGAGAAGAAGAACCATCTAGAGGTTCAACTGGGAAAGAGTCCACTTCCAAGCTTGCTAGAGTTGTTGACAGAATCCATTTCCTTGTGGTTGTAGAACTGAGGGCCTCAGCTTCTTGCTGGCTGTCAAGTGGAGGCTGCCCTCAACTCCTGGAGGCCTCCCACAGTTCCTTATCACTTTGACTTTCCTAGTGTGGCTGCTTGCTTCATTAGGTCACAAGGAGAGTTCCTCTTTAGATTGGGTCTCCTGGCAGGACAGATGTCGTGGAAATGACATCTCATCATCTTTGCCATGTTCTGTTGGTTAGTAGCGAGTCATAGATCCTGCTCACTCTTGGGAGGGTATTATACATGGGTATGAATACCCAGAAAGGGAAATAATGAAGACCACCACCCCAGTGGCTGTCTGCTACAGTATGTCAGCAGGTCTTGTTAGCTCTACCTTTAAAATCT